TGCTGGTCCAGTGATTGAACATTTTGGGCAGCTTTTTATAATTTTGTGGAAAGTAAACATGTCAAGGTGCCTATGGAGCAAGACGTACCTTTGTCTGCTCCCTGTGCCCAATGAAGTGCATTGTGCCTGTCTTTTCATATCTTTGGCAGTGTGTCTTTGGGAATCTTGGGTCAAAGGATAAATTCATAGGTAATTTTGCCAGGGTATTGCAAAAGGATGTTGCCCAATTCCTCCCCATGGTATCCCTACCAGCACCATGTGAGAATACGCACATCTGCGCTTACCTATTTCCTTCTCACAGGCCATATTGAGCACCCAAGGACAAGCCCCCCTACCCCTTCCAATCCTCTTGAAACCATAATGCTCTGTATTTTCCTTAAAATAGAAATGACATCCCCTATTTTATTTGTCTTGTTTGTTTCTATTCTCTCTCCCCGTTAGACTGTAAACACTGTGAATGCACTGTCTTGTTCTGTCTGTTCACTGCTGTGCTCCCAGTCAGAACAGACTCTTACATACCGTAAGAACTTGATAAATTTGTTTATAAATTGAACTTGATAAATTAATGAATAAATAAATAAATGATGAGTACACTCATTTAGAAAACAATCACTCAAAATCTCCCCTTCCCCTCCACCCTATGGCCTTGGAGTTGCTGACATGGCCTTCGAGGGTATCTCATCTTGGCTCAAAGTTGGGAGATTGCAAGTCAGGCTCATTCCAAACTCCTGTTGAACAGCCATCCCTCCCAGTCCATTGCCTGACTATTTACAAAGTCCTTTCATGGACTTGTGAGGAAAGCTGGGTGTCTCCTCATTCCCAGTTCACACAGGAGAAGACCAGGCCCAGAGGGGATTTCCATACCTGGTTAGTAAAGGGACAGGCCTGCAGTGAGGCCCTGACCACTGGCCGGAACCCTTCAGGATGCCCTAAGCTGCTTCTCTGGCTAAAGCAGGCTCGGTCTGCACAGTTAACAAGGGGGAAATAGAGGTGCCAGAAAATGCTTTCCCAGAACACCAGCTTTTGGGAACTCTCTCTCCTAACTCAAAGCCACAGGCACTGAAAAACCTGCAAATCCACAGGTGGCCTCGCCCTCCCCTCCCCATTGACTGTCAGGTAAAGGAGTTACTCTCTTTACCCAGTTCCACACTCAGGATAGTTCACCAATTTCTGATGAAAATCATTTTCCTAAAAATGTCCCACCTCTAGTGCTTGCCTGGAACTGCTGCGGTGGGCAGTTTCCTGTGCTAGAACTATTGCGGGGGAGAGGGGGTGGTGGGCATCGATTTCACAAACCCACCGGATGGAAGTTTGGAACTGGGGTCAACCCAGGTGAACAAGGCTCTCTTGACCCACCACACACAGGCCCCCAGCTCAGCAAGGGAGGGAGGCCACAGAGCTTGGTGCCCGCAGGAGCTGGCAGGTTTGTGGTTGTTCCCTCAGTCCTGGATACAACATGAATGAGTCAGTGTCAGGCCTGCAGACAGAGGCTCCAGGTGACCCACTAAGGGTCACCCACTGTGGCTTGGGGGCAGATATACTTAAGAATGCTTTGAGAGAGGTCGAGTTCAGGGCATGGCTGAGTGACCCCTCCTTATTCTTGGGGCCACACTCTGTGACAGCCAACAGCCTGGCCCTATTTCATCCTGCAGATCAGGGATGCTTACACAGTCACGTAACCGAGGTGGTCTCTGAAGTTACCGAATCCACAGAAATTGTCCCCAAAGCTCTGTGTGTGAGTGTGTAGGGCGGAGGGGACTCGTGTGGTGGTATGCATGGCGAGCATCACTCAGCAAAGGTCCAGAACCCTGCCCTCCGTGCCCTGCCTGTATGGGAGGACCCAGATCTTCCTATGACACGCTGCCCCTGGAACAGCCTGGCTCGTGGCTGGGCATTTACTGCGGGTCCAGCACCCTGTCAGACAATGGAGGTTCTATTTACTCTCCTTCCTGGTCAGGGGATGAAACGCCCATCTCCTGCCCAAACATGTGTCCACTGGCCCCGCCCAGCACAGCTGTTTGCCCATCCATCACCGGACCAGGTCTCCACCGCAAGGACAGGAAGTGCTCCCACATCCGCCTCTGCCACCAGCCTGGTGACTTGTGGTCTCTGAGTCCAGTAGCCAGAGAGAGAATTTTTAAAAAGACTCACAGACATGTAATTAAAATCTCAGTGTTGGTTTTGGGGGAAGGCTCTGGGAGGCTCCCGCCCCTGCTTTGCGGAAACACAGATTTTTAGTGTTTGAAAGTGACAGGAGGCTAAAGTGAGACGCTCTAAATATACTGTCCTGGGCATTTCCGGGCAGCTGGGGAAATATGGGGTTTATTCTGCTCCTGTGGTCTCTTGCCCAGACTGTTACAGCAGCCCAGCCACTGGCCTGCCTCGGGTCCCCTCCAGCCTGGGCTTTACCCTCGCCTCCACACATAGCTTCCACTCTACCCTTAAACCACACTCCCTTGCTGCCCAGAGCCCTGACCCCCCACTGGCCAGAGCACAGCCCACGCTCCGAGGCCAGAATTCCAGCTCTCCGCAGTCAAGCCACAGCCAGACTTATGCCCTGAGCCGCACATTGCGGCATGGTGGGCGGCCCCAGCACCTCACACCTGTGCAGGGCCTCTGCCTAGAATGTCTTCTCCCCCACCTTATTCACCTACTAAGACTCAGTCCCATCCTTCAAGGCCAGTTCAGGTGTCACCTCCTCCGGGAAGCCTGCTCAGATCATGCCATGGGACCCTCCAGCTTCCCCAGCACTTGACCCAGCATTTCCAGGAGCTTTCATCCTACCTCGCCTCTTCCTGGTTCTTTTCACGTCTCCCTCCGGCCCCCTTCCTGCTTCCCCTTGTTCCAAAGAGGGTCCTGCCGTCCTTTCACCCTTTGCTGGGTTTTATGGCTGGTGTTATCCCTGCCGGTGCTGTCGTTCCTGGGCTCTAGGCCTTTGCTCAGGCTGGCCCCTGCCTCTGCAGCGTCCTTCTGCCTTGACATCGTGGCAAATTCACTCTCACCCCTCAAGGCCCAGCTCCAAAGCCCTCTCTCCCCTCAACTCCCATCCACATACCGGCTGACTCTGGGAGCCCCATCCTGCCCAAGTGCACTCAGCTGTGTCCCTGCTGCCACCGTGGCCCTTTTCTGCCTTGGGTCTGATGTCCATCTCCCCAGAGGAGGGACCTGTCCTGTGCCCCATCTGTGGGTCCCAGAGCCAGCAGGGTGCTGAGTGGGGCAGGCTGGGTTTGGGGCTTGCGGACAAGACATGGACACTGCCCTTGTGGCACCGCCGTGTGCCAGGTGCTGTGTCAGGTGCCTCACAACACAGCTCCCGGAGCCTTCTCGGCACCCAGGAGGCAGAGCTGGGACAAGCCTGTTCTCGAGGAGGGAGCAGTCCCACCCAGACTGCCCAGGCCCCCAGATCCCACCCGGCCCTGCCCACCCCGGAGCCCAAGCTGGAACCACAAGTGACCACCAGTCCCACTTTGTCTTGCAGTGGAGCAGGACCGCACCCTGGGCCGCCAGGAGCCCCAGTGGAAGGAGTTCCGCTTTGACCTCACCCAGATCCCGGTGGGGGAGGCCGTCACGGCCGCGGAGTTCCGGATTTACAAGCTGCCCAGTACCCACCTGCTCAACTGGACCCTCCACATCAGCATGTTCGAGGTGGTCCTGGAGCAGTCCAACAGGTGCCTGCCCTGCGCCCCGCGGGTCTGCTTAAGCCTCTGCCAGAGGGTCCGGCCCAGCCCTGGGTGCTGGGGGGACATTTCCCAGAGGACAGAAGGGGAGCTTCCTGGGCAGCCCACCCTCAAAGGAGAAAGATGGTTGGCCCGAGGCCTCGTGTCACCGTGGGGAGAGGCCCAGCATCAGTCCTGGATTCAAGTCCCCATCCTACTGTCCTAGCTGTGGGACACGGGCAGGTCACTGAGCTCCTGAGCCTCAGTTTCCGCAGCCGTACATGGGCACAGTGACACCTTTGTACGGTAGACGCAGTGAGAAAAGGCATGTAAGGCACCCAGGTCAGAGCCAGGCGGGGTAGATGCCCCACTGATGGTCCCCCAGGAGGGCACTGGAAACACAAAGGCAGCTGTGCCGGCCCTCGGTTAATTGTTCTTTCGTGTCCACAGGGAGTCTGACTTGTTCTTTTTGGATCTTCAGACGCTCCGATCTGGGGACGAGGGCTGGCTGGTGTTGGACGTGACAGCAGCCAGTGACCGCTGGCTCTTGAACCGTAGCAAGGACCTGGGACTCCGCCTCTATGTGGAAACAGATGATGGTAAGACTCGGGCCAGCAGCGAACCGTCCCCTGGGGGCTCCTCCGAGGAAGCTGCTGGCAGCCGGCGCAGCTAGAGCCCCTCACGTGGCCCTGGAGGCCTGGCCTTTTCCACCTGTGCCGCTGGGGGATACCTCCACCCCTCCGCGGGGGCTCAGTGGGTAGAGAGTGAGGTTCCCGCAGTGCGGGGCAGCAGGAGACCCCCTACCAGCCGAGGCCCTCCTCTCCTTCTGCAGGACCAACAGCTGTGTTGCTCAGAGTGAGTCCGTGTTTTCCCTCCCCAAGACATGGGAGAGCTTTTACTCTACGGAGCTGCCGTCTGCACCAGGAGTTTCCTTCCTGGGCTGGGCGAGGGGAAGCGCTCACACCCTCAGGCTCTGAGGCAGAGGCCTGGGTGTGAATCTCGGCTCTGCAGCCTTCTAACTCGGTGACCTTGGCAGGTTACTTACCTTTTAAGCCTCGGTTTCCTCATCTGTAGAATGAGGATTCACACCTTCATTCATTTAGCAGGTGTTTGGGGGAGAGCCTCCTGGTGGGCCCAGGGTTGGTGTGGGCAACCTGGGCAAAGACAAGTGGGCAAAACAGTAACTCTGAAATATATGCCATCTTATTTAATAGCAGTGGAGGGGGACAGGATCTGATTCAGCGTTCTATAAAACAACCCTCTGAGACACTCCCCCTCGAGGGGATGTAGCATCTCTCCCCCTCCTTCAGTGTTGGCTACGCTTACAGACTTGCTTCCCAAAGTATGCCGTGGGCTGGGGCAGTACCTTTGCAGGGGCAACCTGAGCGGCACCCCTCAGCCGGGTGCTCAGGCTCCCATGAGCACGTCGTGCTCGGGGCCTCCGTGCGCCAGTCCCCGGATCCCTCCAGTCCCTCCTGACTGCCTGGGCCGGTCCCGCCTCCCGCCTTCGCGGCCCGGGAAGCTCGGCCCCTCGGGCCCTCGGAGCGCGGAGACGGAGCGGGGCGGCGGGGAGCCAGCCGGGCGGCCGCGTCACCGCCGGGGGCTCCCTGCCCTGTGACGCGCGGGCGGGGCGCGCACGGCCGCCGCCTGTCCCCGCTGGGCCCGGGACCGGAGCCCTAGCCGGAGCGGAGCGGACGTTGGCAGCCCTGCGGCTCCTGGAGTCCGCGCTCGGGCGCCGGGTCCCCGCCGGCCGCTCGGTGCCAGCGCTGGCGACGGGCGGTGTGTGCGGCTTCGCCAGCAGCACCCGCGCGCGTGCCGAGTCCTACGCGGACCCCGTGGAGGCCGTGAGAAACATCCCGGACGGCGCGAGGACCATGGTCCGGGGCTTCGGCCTCTGCGCGATCCCGGAGAACCTGATAGGGGCGCTGCTCAAGACCCGCGTGAAGGACTTGGCCGTGGTCAGCAGCAATGTGCGGGGGAGAACTTCGGGCTCGGCCTTTTCCTGGGGACCAAGCAGATCACCCGCATCGTCTGCACGTGCTTGGGGGAGAACTCGCTCTGCGAGCACCGGTACCTGGCGGGCGAGCTGGAGCTGGAGATCACGCCCCAGGGCACCCTGGCCGGGCGCATCCGCGCGGGGGCCGCCGGCGTGCCCGCCTTCCACACCCCCACGGCCTACGGGACCCTGGCCCAGGAGGGAGGCGCACCCAGCCACATCGCCATCCTGAGGCAGCCCAGGGAGGTGAGGGAGTTCCACGGACAGCACTACCTTCTGGAGCACGACGTCACGGCTGATTTTGCTTTGGTGAAATGGTGGAAGGCCGACCGGGCAGGAAACGTCATCTTCAGGGCCAGCGCCAAGAACTTCAACGTGCCCATGGGCAAAGCTGCGAGAACCTCAGTGGTGGAGATTGAAGAAACTGTGGACCTGGGGTCGTTTGCCCCAGAGGACATCCATGTTCCTAACATTTACTTAGATCGAGGAATACAGAGGGGAAAATATGAGAAAAGAAATGAGCGTTTAGTGATCCGGAAAGAGGATGATGAAATATGCAAGTCTGCAGATAGTATAGGGACACGGATCATCAAGCAGGCAGCTCTTGAATTTGAGGACGGCCTGTGTGCCAGTTTGGGCATAGGAATCCCTCTTCTGGCCACCAGCTGCATCAGCCCCAGTATAACCGTTCATCTTCACAGTGAAAATGGAATCTTGGGCTTGGGTCCGTTTCCACTGAAAGAGGAGGTGGACGCAGATCTCAACAATGCGGAAAAGCAAACAGTCACCCTTCTTCCTGGGGGCTGTTTTTTCTCCAGCGATGAATCATTTGCCGTGATTCGAGGGGGACACATCGACCTAACCTTGCTGGGAGCCATGCAGGCAGATCTCAACAATGCGGACAAGCAAACAGTCACCCTTCTTCCTGGGGGCTGTTTTTTCTCCAGCGATGAATCATTTGCCGTGATTCGAGGGGGACACATCGACCTAACCTTGCTGGGAGCCATGCAGGTTTCCAAATATGGTGACCTGGCTAACTGGATGATACCTGGCAAGAAGGTGAAAGGAATGGGGGGTGCGATGGATCTGGTGTCCAGTACCAAGACCAGAGTGATGGTCACCATGGAGCACTCCACGAAGGCCAGTGAACCCAAAATTTTGGAGAAATGTACCATGCCGCTGAATGGAAAGCGGTGTGTGGACTGAATCATCACCGAGATGGCCGTGTTTGACATGCACAGGAAGGGAGGACTGGGCTTCCCTGGTGGCGCAGTGGTTGAGAATGCACCTGCCAATGCAGGGGACACGGGTTCAAGCCCTGGTCCGGGAAGGTCCCACATGCAGCAGAGCAACTAAGCACGTGTGCCACAACTACTGAGCCCACGCACCACAACGAAGAGTAGTCCCCACTCGCCACAACTAGAGAAAAGCCCGCCCCAACGTAGCCAAAAATTAATTAATTAATTAATTTTAAAAAAAGAGAGGACTGACCCTGATCGAGCTCTGGGATGGCCTGATGGTGGAGGACATCAAAAAGAACACGGGGAGCACCTTTGCCGTCTCCCCAAATCTCAGACCCATGCAGCAGGTCGATACCTAGCCAGAAAGTGAACCTTGGTCCCAGGGCGTGTGCTTCTCCCTTTAACCTCCTGGATTGCATCCTGAGAAAGACACAATCACAGTGCTACGTTTCACCAGCATCTGGCCGGCTTTCTCCTGCCATCCCAGACTGGCTGCCACTGGATAGGCTTTGTTCTCTCAAGAGGGACATGCCTTTAATTAAAAACAAAAGGAAAACAGAGGCACTGACCTTATATGTCCTGTGAGCTCTGAGAAAGCTCTGCTCCAATCACCCTCCTCCCTGTCTGTGACATTTACATTAAATTCTATGCAGCTTGAGATGATCCCATGGGAAGGGTTTCACTGAAGTGTCTGCTCTTGTGAATGAATCATGAAATGTAAGGAAACATGACGGGGGAGGAACAACTCCACCCAGAGTCTGCGGAAGGCACCGTTTTAGTGTACTGGAACTATGAAAACATACACACATAAATGTGAATTTGTAACCAGGAGAAACGCTGTCTAAATGAAAGATTTTTTTCCTTTGGCCCTATTGACTTTCCTTCTGGGGACTTTCATTTTGTCGCTAAGTTTTGTTTCCTTGTAGCCTCACCTCCTCTGCCTCTCACATTTCTCCTCCTCGTAGCTAAATAGATGTCTCTAGAAGGGAAGCAAGACCGTCTAGGCGGCCAGTAAACTAGTAATAGGGGCAACTGAAGGGGGAGAGACTGTTTGGTGCCGACATTCCACCAGGAAGTCTCCTCTGTGAATAAACAGCTCGCCTGTGTGTGGCCAAAGGCTGCGGCTTAGGATGGGAGGAGTTCTAGAAACCCGGGCGATGGACTTAGATGAGTTTTCTCTTCTTAAATCATAGCGTTCCTGTGTTGTCCAGATCAGACACTTAGACCCTTCTTCTCTGTTATGGAGCCTAAACCAGCCTCTTGTTCATACTCCCTTGAAACCCATGAGGGGCAGTGACGTACCTCATCCTGAATCCACAGTCTCACAAACTAAACAGAAAAAAATGAGTTTGCATTTGCGTGTGTGTGTGCGTGCGTGCGTGCATGTGTAGGGTTCAAACCCAGGCCTGCCGTGGAGCCCACACTTTCTCAATGTGGCTCTAGGGCTGCACGAAATGGATGGGAGCTCATAGGTAAGAACAGGAAGCTCCAGCTGGTCAAGGAAGGCCTTTCAGAGAGGTCTCCCTGAGGCCTCACCCTGACGGGAGGCCCGGATCCTGGAGTGGAGGGACAGTGCACCTGAGAGGACAGCCACAGAGTGTCAGGGGACCGTGACCAGGCGGGCAGTGGGTGGACGTCATTGAGTGGACTGTGCAGCACCTTCTGGGGCTTCTGCTGAGGAGGATTGATCTGCCCTGCGTGGTGGGAGAAGTCCTCCAGCAACAGCCTGGGACAGGCAGAGGTTCTAGAAGCAGATGAGTTACAGGACTGTTACACAGTAGCAAGAAGGAAAAGCACTGAGTTCCTAGTTCTCATGCGGTGAGGAAATGCCCTGTGGGACAAAAGCACACCTGGTCACAGCTGGATCCCCTCCAAGGGTTTCAGCCAGGCGTCCTGATTGTCCTTCAACGTGGCACTAGGGTCACATCCATGACCGCAGGGTGAGGCGGGGCAGGGGCTGCAGGGAAGGGGCAGGTGGCACCCAGAGCAGAAAGAGGCCTTGGGGAGAGATGGGAGCAATCTTGGCCTGGCCCAGGGGTAGGGGGCATGAATCCTCGGGGATGTGATAGGGCAGGGGAGCTGCCAAGACATCCAGGCTCTGATGGGGTAGACTCAGAAATGGGGGGAGGCTGGAGGTGTTAGGGGCCTTCCTGGCCCAGAGGAGCAGCATCTTCATCGATCTGCGTGCGGGGGGAGGCCACAGTGTGGTCCCCATCTCGAGGTGTGGCCACACGTCCCACGTCTCTCACAAAGGGGACAGCATGCCTGCCAGCAACCTCACAGTTCAGGTCTAGAGGCAGGGACCCTGGGCCTCAGAGGTTCTTGAAGTTCCTGCCTCTGCTTTCTGGAAAGGGTCCTGCCAGAGCCAGGCAGCCTGGGTGCCACCACCTGGACAGCTGGGGCCTGCCATGTGACCCAATCTCTCTGCGCCCAGGAGACCCCAATACGATCCTCGACCAGACAGTTGCACAAGAAAAGCCTACAGTGAGCACAGCCTCGGGAGCACCGAAGGTCTCCCTGGCTTCTCAGTGGACAGGGCTCTCCAGGGATTCACAGGACAGGGCGGCTGCACACCCAGGCCTGGAGGGCTGCCAGGCCAAGACCACCCCATGTGTCCACCACGTGTGGAGCTCCGCTCCAGTGCCGCGTGGATGACAGCCGCCCGCCTGCCCTCGTCGCTCCACGGGCCTTTCCCTCTGAGGCAGGGCTGCTATGTGTCTTGTGTCTCTGCATCCTTACGGGCCTGCTGTTCTTCCTCGTGACCCTAACCTGCCATGACCCAAACTCCCCGAACGGCTTCTCCCTGGGCCCCTCCCCGTGTCAGCTCCTGTCTCAGCAGGGTCATCCCTGAGTGGCACCTCTGATGGGCCCAGTGCATGTTTGTGGCAGGTGATGTCATAGGTCAAAAGTTAGTCTCTGGTCGATTAGTTGTTTAATCAACTCTGGCGCATGGACTCAGGGCTAAAGCACAGCTGTGTAAGGGCTGGCGATGTCCTTGACCTGTAATGTGCAGTGGAGGATCATGAGACCCACTAATAGAACACACATGTCTATGTATGTGCATATGTGTACACTAGCTGTATAAATGCACACATGCGTGTACACATACACATATGTGCATGTGTGTCTATGCCTGTGCATCACTGTTGCAACACTGGGGTGAAATGTACATGGAAGTGGGATGTTCGGCCCTGTGTTTTTTTTGCGGTATGCGGGCCTCTCATTGCTGTGGCCTCTCCCGTTGCGGAGCACAGGCTCCGGACGCACAGGCTCAGCGGCCATGGCTCACGGGCCCAGCCGCTCCACGGCATGTGGGATCTTCCCAGACCGGGGCACGAACCTGTGTCCCCTGCATCGGCAGGCGGACTCTCAACCACTGCACCACCAGGGAAGCCCCGGCCCTGTGTTTTACGAAACATTAACAGTGAGCTTGTAGTCATGCCCTGTTGTTTAGTGTGAGAAAATTCCACAGGGAAAGGAAATGAAGAGGTTGTATCACATTCTCATCTTTATGATGAAAGCCAGGAAATAACTTAAATGTCTAAAGAGAAACTAATATCTAAATATTCAGATATATCTACTGAAAGGAATTTTATACATTTGAAATGTTCATAGTTGAGACTTAACAACCGAGAAAATGTTTATGTGGAAAAATTGGGAAAAATACAGACTTCTTTCTTATGCTCACTATTTAAATTAACATATGAGAATATCCCAGAAAAATGAAAATGTGTTGTAGCAGGGGAGGGGTTTTACAGGTAATATTTTTCCTAAGGTTCTTTACAGTTGTTGTTTTATATCACTTTGACAATTAAAAAACAAGAGGTCATTGGAACTACAAAGATGTACAAGAACATAGTTTTATTGGTGGAGGTGACTTTTCCAGGGATAACCAGTGTGTTTTTCCGGCATCCTCAGGCTTTAAGCAGCTGTGGGTAAAATCCCAGTTTTACAAGCATCACTACTCCTAGGCTGAGGCCCCAGTCATGTCTCTGCCCACAGCCTTTTCTCTCTTTCTTCCTTTTCAAACCACAAACCCTCTGGTTAAGAACTTAAATGGACAAGAAGGGCTCTGGAATTAGATGCACGTGTCTGAACGTGGACTTGGCGTAAATGTCTCTGCCCGTGGCGCCTGGGGTCTCGTTTGGGGGCATCGGTGAGTGGCCTGCTCTTGGGCGGCGCTCAGCAGAGCAAGCACTGAGTCCTGGCAGCCGCTCCCACCAGCTGGGTGTTGCACTGATCCCCAGAAAGGATGGGGTGGAAGGTAGAATTCGGGCCTCGGGGCCCCGAGATGGATGGGAGCCCTGGTTCTGAGAGTCCCCGGTAGTGGTGCTCTGAGCCGTCACCGAGGGGCTCTGATGCTTCTCAGTGAAATGATGGGTCTGGCGTCACCATGAAGACTGGTTGAGATCATCACGTGAACTGACTGAAAGCTGTAAAGCGCTGTCACAACGGGTGGTGCCCTGGACCATCACTAATCCCGAGCCTGTGCTCCCGAGGACCCTCCCCCTCTCCTGCAGACCTGCCCGTTGGGGGCTGGGGCTGGACTTGGGACTCAGGTCTTCAGAAGAGGAGACTGAGACCCAGTGGGTCCCCTGCAGCCTCAGGCTCCGTGCTCCTGGCCCGCCCACAGAGAGGTCCCTGCTGTGTCCCCGTGCAGGGCCCCACCCTCGAGTGACCGCCCTCTCTGCTCTCTCCGTCTCAGGGCGCAGCGTGGATCCTGGCCTGGCCGGTCTGCTGGGGCAACAGGCACCGCGCTCCAAACAGCCTTTCGTGGTCACCTTTTTCAGGGCGAGCCCCGGCCCCGTCCGAGCCCCTCGGGCGGTGAGGCCCCTGAAGAGGAGGCTGCCGAAAAGAACCAACGAGCTGCCGCCCCCAAACAAACTGCCGGGGATCTTCGGTGAGGTTGGGGACCAGGTGGTGGGGACAGAACCCTCCCGGCTTCAGTGGGGTCAGGCTGATGGTCAGTCACCCAGCCACCTTTCCTGACACCACTTTGCCCCTGCACCCTGGGGACCAGCCGCTGCAATGTCTCCAGGGCTCTGAGCATCTGCCCTCACCGCCCCTGCTGCCCTGAAGTCCCTTCCTGCCCTCCCTGGCTCACCAGGCCCCCCCCACCCCCTCGTCAAAATCAGGTGCCCCTGGTGGCCCTCGGTGCTGCCCCGGGCACCCTGCAGGATCCAAGCGTTTGTGTGAAGGTGTCCCTACCAGGCCAAGCCCCTGGGGATCAGAGCCCCCTGGTGCCCTCCTTTCCTTCACGGGGAGCCAGGCTTTGCTTGGCCTCAGTGGGAACCACTTGTCCTGTGGAATGGGCGTGGCTGGAGAGGCGGATGACGTCAGGGGTGTCTCCGGAGGAAAG